AGAGAGAGAGAGAGAGAGAGAGAGAGAGAGAGATTCTTATGAACTAGTGTTGGGGCAAAAGGAAGCTACAGAAGTGCTAAACTGATTGACATCATTTACACAACTGAGCTTGTTGGCAATGTTTCAAAAAACAGTCTGCCTGGTGCCTAGGCGGCCTAGACAAAAAATCCGTACGCCTAGACCCAGGCGGCCCAACACGGGCGGATGTACCTGGGCGGGCGCAAGGGGTCATTTTGACCCCCAAAAGGGCAAAAGGGGTCATTTTGACCCCCAAAGTTGTATAAAAACGTTATGGGGTTTATTTGTACCCCCAAAGTGAGAAAAAAAAAAACTCAATATATGAAAACCCCAAAGTGAAAAAAACTACAGGGTGCCTGCCTAGGCGCTAGGCACTGGGCGCCAGGTAGGCTGCCTCGGGGCCGCCTAGCGTTTTTTGAAACCTTGCTTGTTTGTTAAGCTCTGGAGTTGGCTTGCTTTCAGATGCATAGTTAGGAATCATTGTGTCAGATCATATACAACATCATGCTGCAGTGGTTTGAGAAAAACTGGCACCTTGAGAAAGCCAATATCTTTAATAGGAGGTTGCATCACACTTATTGAGGAAAAGTTTTTGTTTTGGCAGGGAACTTCCATCTTGGGACGTGGTACAAACTATAGGGTGAATTTCTTTGGACTGCAGATTGCAATGGATCTTGAATTCAGTTAGCATATGAACTTCCATCAATGTGTAATCAGTATATGAACCAAAAGCAGTCTGGTTCATGCACTATAACTCAAGAGGCTACATGCACTATAACTCAAGAGGCTATGGGAAATGAACAACAGTCTATTGGAGAAGTGTCATTGGAGAACCTTAGAATCTAAGGAATGGATAATCGCGAAACAGCATTTAATCAGTGATTAATTGGCTGAGTAGCCAATTATACCAAATATACAGTTCTCTAATATAGTGACACCGAAGATACTGGAGAATCTTTAGAGTCTAGGTTGTAGGATCACTGAATAATAGTATATAATCTAATCGGTGATTCAATGGCGGAGGAGCCAATTTAATATGATTATGGTGCTTAGAATAGTTGCCGTTATTCCTTATTCAGATCCTCAGGCTAGTTGCCATAAATAAAGAGAGCCGAACCTTCGGCACTATGATGCATGCTATGGCACAAAGAAGATAGACAGCCCAGGGTAAAGATGTGGGTGAAGAGACAGCAATTAATGTTATATGCTAATTCTCAGGAAAGTAAAAAAGGCACATGTGTCAGACACATTGCCAACACTTGACATGCTAGTCAGCACTTACAGGAAGTATCCTTGGGTGTATCTTTAACTTGTTTGTGTTAGATACAACAGGCTCTGCATGTCCACCATCAAGAAACATTTTCCAGAATTTTGCCATGCATGTCCATCATTTGACAATCATATTCACACAATCCGCACACCTATACACTTATTCTTCTTAATTAACATACTATATTTACACAGAATACAGATATGTAAATATTAATATGTGCACATGCCTACCCCTTAGCATTGTGCAGATGAGTCAATGACATACCATTTTCTCAGGAACTGTATCCGTTAGACACAGTATCCGTGTTAGACACCGAAGTGTGTCCAAGACATATTTTGAACATGGTTTCTGAGACATCCTTCGAACATGGTTTCTAACTCTTGGATATGGTTCAAATATTGAGCATAACCATTACATCACTCATGGCTTAGTTAAAACAAACTATATTTTTCAGAAAAGTTCGATATAACTCACATTGAAAGATAGCTCAATTCTTCTCGAAAGTAGCCTCCAAATATTAGCCAAAGTAATGTAATAATGAGTTCTAGTGTAAAGTCAACTTTGTTTTGATAGAGGCAATGGTATTATCTATTCTCATGTATGTACCCACAGTACAGGTAGGGACATGTAGCATTCAGGGAGAGCAGGACAGTACTTTATGGAAAGAGAGACTTTAGTCTAGGGCAACTTATTGAGAGGGACAAAGTGGTAGTCCAAGTTAACCTACGACTTAGGCCAACTCAATCCCTATCTCCTCCCATAAGTACCTTCATTGGTAATTTATTTGGGAATATATAATAGGATATCTAATTAGAAAGGAAAGTCTCTCTTTAATGAATACATACATATCTTTATCCAAACTATCTAACTAGATAGGAAAGTCTCTCTTTAATAAATACTTTATCTTTATCCAAACTAAAGAGTAAATATTTTAACTGTAAGCAAAGAAAGTTTCCCCCCTATTTTGAGGATTATTAAGTTTATTGGAAACCTAATCCCAAATTACCAAATTTTAAGTATTTTATTTTTTGTAAAAGAATTTGTCTTTTTACCCTTTTAGAGCAATCACAACAATTGAAACAGCATCACATGTTCCTCTTGCTAGTCAAGAAGAAAGAGGCACAATGAAAACATAAGGAGAGTGAGATCAACAATATGACAAGAGGGGCAAGATGAGAAGGCATGTCAGCAGTTATGTACATTAGTTAAGTAAAACCATAAGATAATGCACCCGCCCCATTCTTTAGCCAGTCTGTCATCTCTTCATTTGCCTAATGAAAGACGTGCAAAAGGATAACAGTAAGCACCACAACGGTCAAAGTCCTCTTTGCCAACACACAAGCCACTTACCAAAGTAGCAAAGGGCAACCTTTATTCCCATAAGAAGTGAAAAACAACCTAATCGCATTGCAAATTACTTGGGGGTCAGAGAAAGAAAACAACATCCTCCATATATTGTCCCAGAGGAGATCTCCATCGATCTGAATACCCAGAAGAACATCTATTGAAATTAAGCTTGAGCTCACTGACCTCCACTCTATACTACGTGGGTCACAGTCTAGGAGAGATTGGCTGACAGAGAAAACAAGAAATCCTTCAAGATTAACAAGCCCACAACTTTGAGCACTTGAAGTTTGAATTCACCTTAATTCTAAAAGATATGACAAAAATTTGAAATATTAAACATGTGATATATTTTTAAGGTCCAGTACGACGCCCCCATAAGTTTACTGATTTGACAGGACTAGAGGGAAGGGAAAAATAGGTTTTAATTTTTATTTCAAGTGAGAGGGGCAGAGGAGCAGGACTCACTCCTGATTAGCTGGACTGGAACAAAACACTAAGACTTACAGTTTAAGTAATAGGTACAAAGAAATGGAAATACTTCTGGTGACTGGTCCATCCAAACTGGGTATAATTAAACATCGTGTAAATCAAACTTTGTCATATTAGAACATTTTGAAGCACATGAGTTTGAGAAAATTATATCATATGTATCAGTTTCCATGTTGAATAGTAAGGGAAAACAATATATTTACCAAGGAATTGCCAATGATTAAGGGAAAACAATATATGCTTCCATTTTGCAAAACTTCTATAATTCACATATATCCATTAGCCAACACCTTCTAAAAATATTAGTTGTAACTCAAACAAACTAGCAGTAGCTGAAATATCCGATTTCCTCCATAGAAACAGCAAGAATCTCTAATAGATTATATATTTTTTTGATATGTGGATGTGATCTATCGCCAGATATAAATGCATATGTTTTGGCCCTGATCTCAATCCAACTATGACCCGGCTGCTTTTGTGCACCTCTCTCTTTCATCAAAACTCTAATTCTCTTTGCATGCTCCCACATTCCTTTTTCTACATATAAATTCGATAACATCACATAAATCCCTCCTTCTAGTGGCTGTAAACTCAATATCTTATTTGCAACTACCTCTCCTAATTCCACATTGCCATGAACTCTACAAGCACTTAACAAGGTCTCCCATGCATGTGATGAAACATCCAATGGTATTTGTTTGATAAACTCATAGGCTTGACTCAATAGCCCATTCCTCCCAAGAAGGTCAACCATGCATGCATAATGCTCTGGTTTGGGTATCAAGTTCCATTCTGTTTGCATCATATTGAAATATTGCCAACCTTGATCAACTAAACCTCCATGAACACAAGCAGACAAAAGACCAAGAAAAGTCACATGGTCAGGCTCAAAAGCCTCCTTTCTCATTGCAGAGAAAAGCTCAAGAGCATTGACAGTAGATCCATTGTAAGCTTGTGCTATAATCATGGCATTCCATGCAACGGTGTCTTTCTTTGAAATATCTGTGAATACTTGAGTTGCCTCAATGACGGAGCCACATTTGGAATACATTGTAACTAATGAGCTACAAACTAGAGTGTCATGCTCATAACCTGCTTTGATTACACAAGCATGAACCATTCTACCCCACCCTAGTGAAGCGAGGCTAGCACATATTGAAATTATAGATGTAAAAGTCCCTTGATCTGGCCTGAACCCTTCTTTGATCATCATAGAAAACAAATCAAGAGATTCCTCACTTTGGAAGCCAGAGATCATGGTATTCCAAGAAGTTTCATCTCTTTGAGGCATTTTTCCAAAAAGAAGACAAGCATTAACCATATCTCCTTGCCCCACATATCCCTGCAAGATAGAGTTCCATGAAACAATATCATGTCTTGGCATTTGCATAAACAATTGCAAAGCCTCTTCCATCATTCCATTATGAATATAACCACCAATCATCGAATTCCAAGCAACTACATCTCTTTGAGGCATCTTGTTAAAAAGATTGTGTGCCATTCTTACCTTTCCATTATGCAAATAACCTCGAATTAGAGCAGTCCAAGCTATTATGTCCCTCTCAGGCATCTCCTCGAACAAGCGAGCTGCATTCTCCATCTGCCCTTTTTGTGAATAACATGTAATCATTGCAGTCCAAGAAGCAATGTCACGATAAGGCATTTTGTTGAAGAATTTAAGTGCATCTTCCAGAAGGCCTACTTCAACATAGCCAGAAAGCATTGCATTACACAAAGAAGTTGTTTGTCTAGGTGCCCTATCAAAAAACCTTTGGGCTTCAACTACAAGCCCATATCGAAGATGTCCTCCAATCATGATGGCCCATGAGAGTAAGTTTCTCTCAGGCATCATCTCAAAAAGTTCTGTTGCTTCTTCAATTTTCCCATAGTTGATGTATGCTGAAATCATAGCATTCCAACACACGACATTTCTCTCAAGCATCTCGTCAAACAATGCACGAGCTTCATCTAACCTTCGAGACCTTGCATAACCAGTTATCAACGCTGTCCATGAAACAACATTTTTCCTTGGCATAGCGTCAAATATCCTATGTGCCTCTACAATTCTCTTGTTCAAAACATAGCCAGAAATCATACAATTCCAAGTTACTAAGTTTCTTATAGGCATTTCATCAAAGAGTTGTTGAGCCATCTCTGTCTCTCCTCGCTTAAAGTAGCTTGTAATGGTTGAGTTCCATGAATATACATTGTATTTTTCAACAGAAGACTTTAGGTGGGTATTGACAGGCACAAATGATGAATATCTTTCCAAAACAAGGTAGTATAGATGATGCTTGAGCTTGACACTAGGAATTCTAATCAAGATGCACATGTTTCAATGCTTCCTCTTCCCTTAAGTCCACAAATATCAACAAACTAATTGGTAATGTAACCACGATATAGGGAGGTTCAGGTCGTCATAAGAACATTGATTTGGATGTATATGATTCAACTTTCTCTCTTCCTGTTTGTCTGAAAATGTCAACAAACTAACGATTACCTCCCGTATTGTCGAAATAGATCAAGAAAAGGTCAAGAACTAAACGGGAAAGGAAATGCACTCTTTTAGAAATAACAAATGATTGACTTCTAATTTGCATACATATTTAATAAAGATGTATGTCATTCCACTATGTCATCATCAAAATGATCCTGCCTTTTAGAGACCAATTAAAGATCCAGAACAAGTATTCTAACTCTACAGATCCAATAATCCAATAATTTTATAATTATTGGTAAACATATTTGCACATTTACATACTAAAATGAATTATGGTAACCAGTATAACCACAGAAAAATATTATGTAGAATGAATACAAAAAACATTCCAACAAAACTATGCAAAGCAATAGGCATAGTCCATGACTGAATAGAACTGGAAGAGAATAAAACATGGGAAACATATTTATAAGAAAAAGTATAGGAAAAAAAATGAAATCTAAATTATTACATTTAAGAGAGTAAAAAGATTAGTAAATTATGGCTTTCACCAGAGTGCCCCATGAACAAAGTATCAAAGAAGAACAAACACACAACGCATGAAAAGGCATGAATGATAGCTATAAATAACACATGATATATTTTGTTCATATAAAAACTAGACGTTCAATAGAACACTAGGTTTCACAAGAAGAGAACAGAAAGAAATAAAAAAGATGAAATCGCCATCTTCAACACTAATACATGAAACACCAAATTTCATCCAGGTATTCAAACCATTTAGAATGGAAAAAAAAAAAAATTAACACGATCTTAGCCTCGAAAACTAGAATCAACAATAAAATAAAAATAATATATATATATATATATATATATTATCATCAGACATGTATAGTGGAAAAAATCAAATTCCAAAAATGTCAAAAACCACAGATCAATGTGGATAAAAACTTGCGAATTTTTTATGTGCGTCGTAAAAGAAAAACAAACCAATAACAACAAGTGTGATAACAGAAACTTACAGTGATTAGAAGAAAAATTACGGACTGTGATTTGAAATAAGAGCCGTGTAAAATATGGATAGAGAGAAGATAGGGAGAGAGAGAGAGTACCTTGCAGATGGGGCAGCTGGATTTAAGGGCAACAGCTCTTGCCTCAAGCTGGGAGCCCTTGGCCTTGGAGTTCCTCTCAGCATTCTTCCTCTGAGCTTCAATCTTCTGCTTTCCCCTCGTCATGTAAGCACTCTTTCTCTCTCTACAGCCCTCTCTCTCTTCCCTCTTTATACATGCTCCATAAACGGGAGATCTCCTTTTATGCACCACACCATCAGACCTTCTCTCTTATATTACATTAGAAATGGATAATATGCATTGGAAAAAACGACGGAAAAAGTTTATATATTACAGATCCCTCTCAAAAATTCATTAAAAAAAAAAGGTTATTTTAATGTTCAAAAACCCTCTGATTGACTCTACATTGAGATATATAAATATGAAAAAAAAAAAATAGATCCAAAAAATAGTGTATTTTGGAATACATTATGTATTCAGTCCATTTTCAATATGTTCATATGTTTATAAATCTACTTGATTTTTAACCATTTTTAGTATTTAAAATTTTATAAATAGTTATGAAAATAGATTTTCAAATAATCCTAAAAAACTTTAAACATCAAACATACATCTCATAAAATTTGAAAGTGCGCCTTAATTGGATCGTTTAAGAAGGTGCGCCTTAATTGGATCGTTTAAGGTTAACTTGGTAGAAACCACACCCAAATATGAAAAATGCAAATAGTTCGTAAAAAGGGAAATCAACAAGATGATATGCTCTCGCAGGAGCATATCATGCATTCCCTCGAGGTAAAAATAAAACCGTGATTAGAATTTGATGTATTCTTAGGACTTTGACTTTGGCTTTGGTAGGGGTAGCAATGGACCAGGACCCGAATCCGACCTGGGACCTGTCGGGTATTCCTGATACAGGATGGATATATAGGTCTAGTATTTAGACCCGGTGGGTCGGGTTTGGGTTCAAAACTTGGACCGAAACACTATACAGGTTCAGATCTAAGTCCAGCTAGAGCTAGACTCGACCCACGTAAACGATTAGAGATAAAATAGTTTACTTTAAGCCTTATTTATTTGGGTGTATTAAATATCGTATATAATTAAAATTAGTAGTCATCTTTAGCTATTAAACAACGAATCACACAACTTGAAATTTAATAGTCATCTTTAGCTATTAAAGAACGAATCACACGGTTTGAAATTTAATAGCGGGTGACTGTGACCGATAATACAGGTATATGATTTAGAAAAAATGGGCAAAAAAGAAAAAAGAAAACAAAAACTCATAGTGAGAGTGACAATGGACCCGGGACCCGTCAGGTACGGGTATGGATCCAATTTTTTGACCCGACGGATCAGGTCCGGGTACAAAACCTGGGCTTTGGAGGTCGAATCAGTGGCCAACTTAAAAAATAAAGGAAAATATATGCACGGACCTGAATATTTTCAGGTATTAGGCAATGATCCATATTTTGGGTAATTTATGCTTAGGTCCCGTACTGACCTTTTTTATTTTCTTCAAATGTAAGGCTATGGCGATGCTAAATGTCACAGGGAGGCCGATGTTACAAACGTTGTATTGTCAAAAGACAATCAGATGTTTGGGTCATCAAAAGTTTTTCGTGGTGGTATAGCCACAGATTAGGCGGTCTGATGTTGTAGGCATCATTCTGCTCACTAGATTGAGTTCAGCAGCCGGTTTGATATATGCGTCATTGGACTGCCTAGTATGCCCCCAAGTTCCAGAGATGAGGTAGTCCGATGTATAGAACATCAAACTGGATTATCACAACCTGATGTTCCATACATCAAAACACATTATGAGGGTACATCATCATATCCCACATTTGAAGAAAATAAAAAGGTAAAAAATAAAAACTTATATGATGGCTTGATGTTAAAAACATTGAACCGAGAGTAAAACTGAAAAAAAAAAGTCAGCACAAGATATAGATCATCCCATAATGCAGGAAATATCCTCTAGTTTGCAAGTAAATTTTCCCAAAAAAATGGCACCCCTCAATTCACACCTAATACAAGCCCTGACTAAATTGGAGACGCAGATGGAATACTAGAGATAGGAAAAAGAAGAATCGGCCGCTTGTAAGAGGGGCAATTGCTCATTAGAGAGAGGCTCATTATATATCTTTTTTTTAGGTGTGACATTTAAAGATAAAGATCTCAAATGTCCCGATTTTTTGAAGAAGCCCTTTTTCCTTTGTTTTCAGACCAGAGGAGGTCAAGAACTATAGAATCGAGTTGCACACTAGGTTCACTCTCGGTTGAGTCAGTTAGGCAGTCCTGGGTCAACTCAGTTCGGGGCGAGTCAGTAGTGAAAGGTGAAAAAAAAGAAAAATATATTAAATAAATTCTGCACAACCAAGAGGCAGTTACCAATTGAAGACCATCCAAAACCAGGAACATACGATTCAGATATCAAATTTCTTTTATTGAAAATGATAGTTACGAGGATTCTGTATGCTTTTTTTTATTTCTACATTGAAGCTAAAATAAACTGATGAAAAACTTCATTCACAGGGCACTAGTTTCATTGCCTCTTTAATGGCTCTTCCCCTCCCTCTCCCCCTCTCGGTGGTTCTTCACAATGATTGTAAAACACAGAAAACTTGCATGGATCTGTGTCTCATCAAAAGCAGCAAGCGCTGCCCTCCAAATCATTTCATGGCAACAGAAACAAACCATAGCCCAAACCTTTCCCTGATTACATGAAAACTAATTTATCATAGACTTCGTTTAACATGCACATGACATGCCCATGACAGATCAATTCAATCGCGTAAAACCTGATAATCCAGATCGGGAACTGCTGATCCGAAGTAGGAATCAGCCACGATTAAACCCAGTCTACAAAAGTACAAATGAAAGCCCTCCTTGTTTTTTAAGCTCATGTGGGTTTTTTTAGCTCCCCTCTAAATCTCCACGTCATAAATCTTTTTTTTTTTTTTAATCTTAAATATCTTTCTGGATCATCAATTCTTATCAATCCCGATCACCAATCTAGCGATCTGACACAAATCTGTGGAGAAGACAATCCACCGCATTGATCCGGGTTTTAAAACACTGCATCAATCACTTGATCTTGCCAATAAATCAAAGATCCACAACGGCCTATTGAACAACAATACAGACTCCCTTCCTAGCGCATCTAACCACATTAATAGAACAAGTAGAGGCTTTAAAACCCTATACATAGATGTCGAGCCCAAACAAGAAATTGAGCCTTCAACAGCAGTTTTCCATAATCCAAACACACAGGCAACCCCAAGCTTATAAAACGACTAGACACAGCCACCAGTAAAACTAGTACTAACCAGTATTTGCAGCAATTCCCTCATTGTTTGGGCACGTCAAAGACTTTCCTTTCAGACTCCTCATCTTAGCATAAACATTATTCTTAATAGACCTTGCATCAAAGACAATCCTTTCATAATCAAAATATTTTCACATACAATGCTGGGGAGACTGCCATATGAACGTATTAATGTGGCATCTACTGAACAAATTAGACCACAAAAAACACTTCACATTGAAGAGCAGAGTTAAAACCACATTATTATTGCTTTCTGCATCAACTTAATACCGAGGGCAATACCCTTCACTATCATCAGAAGCCTTAGTCATAACTCGCAAGTATAAAGTGCAGATCTTCATGAATACTGTTTATCCTGTCATATGTTACACAAACAATGTTACTATGACGTGTATATGTGGGGCAAAAGAGTTTTCATCTACAAGATTTAGATGTAAGACAAAGCACAGATCATTTCTTTATCCCAGTGTTCTTTTTTCTTAAAAAAGACAGCAAGAGTGAAATATATCTAGTTGTTGAAAATGACAAAATGATGAGTCTCAAATGGACTATTGATCTTTTAGAAGCAAATCTGAATTTCACATAAAAAGAATACATCTTAAATACAAATCCAGATTCTTTATTTTTCATAGGTTATCAGCTTAAACATCTAGATGCAAAAGCTATGGATAGTACAACAAGTTACTGATGAAAATATGAGTATGGATACTTGAATGTACAGATTTCCCAACAAATCTCATATTACCTAATTGGATCATCTAATAATACCCCACCAGATAATTGTCGAAAAGAAGAGAATAATACCCTACTAGAGTTATGTTACCCAAGCATTTTGTAATATATGAATGTGTAAATGACCAAACAAAACTTCAAATTTCACACAACATTAGGAACACTATTATATCATGTTATCGGTATACAAAGGCAACCATATATTTGGAACAATTATGCATGCTTAGAACTAAAAGATAGGCATTACGAGTGCAAGTGCGTGCCACAAAATCAGGTTTCCAAAAGGAGACAAGGTGGCAAATAACCTACTCACAACTTGCAGTCCCAAGAGAAACAATCAGAAAAAAAATTACACAGGTGTTCATAATTAAAAAGAGAGAAAAATGGAAAATTAAAGCATCAAAAAACTAAAGAAAAAAGCAAGGAAAAAAATTTATTGTTTCAAAAGTTCTGCAAGAGAAGCCAAGGGATGTAAATTAGGTCTCTAACTCCTGTATCACACCAGAAAGGAACACCAACATAGTTTAACCATGGCAAACATAAGACCCAAGATTGCAGAAGACAAACATAAGATCCAAGACAAATAATCTGAAACCTAAAACACTTTCTATCGTTATTCTCCTATTTAGCCAAGACAGTACGGTGAACTAACATAATTATGCAGGTATGCCCAGCTCTCAGAGCTGTAAGATCCATCACCAGCTGAGAGATTCTCTTCTTGGCTCCTCTTCACCTCATATGCCCACTCCAAACCTGGACAATAATGCAAGGGGGGATTGAACCTACTATCATTTATATCAGCTGCTAAGAATGCACCATTCTCCACCAAGAATTTGACAGCTTCCTTGTTTCTCTCCTTTGCAGCGCTATGCAGAGGTGTCCCTGGTATACAAAAACAACATAAACAAATAAAGTCATAAGGAATGACTTAAGAGTGGATGCAAAAACTAGGGATATTTCAATAGCAGAGTGAAACAACATGAACTGAGTTGAGATTCTTGATAAATGCACAGATTTGCAAGTAAAACAATCTTTCATAACATGTCAGTAGGACGCTTTTCTTCTCAAGTGAGTGCTAGGAGGACATGGACAATGTGGTCAAATTTTTTGTTTTGCACTTTTAAATAGAACATTATTACCAATCTAAAGTATAAGCACAAATAGGTGTTTGAAAATTCAGCCACGAGGCTGCCTAGGCTGACCTGCACTAAATCAGAAAGGCCTAGAGCCATAGGCCCTGCCTAAGCACCCACATGCGCACGGGTGCCTAGGTGGCATGTCAGTGCCCTTGCCGAGGCTGGAAGAAGCCCCTCAGCCAAGGGCAAAATGCATATTTTTCTTCCCCTAGGATTTTGGGGTGCATATTCCACCCACACCTCCCCACCCCAACCACCCACATCACCCCAACCACCCACATCATCATCATCCAAGACTTATCCCAACTATTTGGGATCGGCTATATGAATCCTATTTCCTCATTCTACTCTATCAAGAGTCATACTTTCCATAAGACTATATATCACCATATCTTTTCTCTAACTACTTCCATCCATGTCCTTTCGAGCCTTCCCCTTGCCCTTTTAGATCCTTCCACTGAACCAAATTGCCCTACTAACCAATGTTGTATTAGGTCAATGTTGCACATGGCCAGCCCACCTAAGTCTACTCTTTCCCCGTCGTATCATCTACTAAATTCCCTCGAATGCATTCATTCCAGATTCTATCATTTCTTGTCCTTGTCACTCATCCATCTCAACATCCTCATCTCAATTACCTATCCTATGGATATGTTGTTTTTTGACCGCCCCGCATTCTGTCCCATAAAGTATGGCTAATCTTAGAGTTGTCCTATAGAACTTCCCCTTCAGTTTCATTGGTATGCGGCTATCACATAAAACTTCAAATGCACACCTCCACTTCGTCCACCCAACTCTAATTCTATGCATGACATCTTCCTCAATCTCTCCATTCTCTTGGATTATCGACCCAAAATATCGAAAATAACCACTTTTAGGCATTTCTTAGCCATCAAACTTAACTACTTCCTCGTTTCTACTCCTATTATTACTAAATTTGTATTCTATATAAGTATATATTATGTCTTAATCTGACTAATTTTACAACCATTAGATTCTAGAGCATACCTCCAAAGTTCTAACTTTGCCTTGATGCCGCCCCTAGTCTTATCAATCAAAACTATGCCATCCGCGAACCGCATGCACCACAGTACCTCGTCATTCAAGTGCCTAGTTAACTTGTCTATAACCAAAATAAAGAGCTATGGGCTCAGTGCTGACCGCTAATGTAGGCCTACTGTCACTGAAAATTCACTTATCTCTCCACTAGTTGTCCACACGCTAGTTAGTGCTCCCTCGTACGTATCTCTCACCATGTAAATATAATTTCTATAGGCTCCTTTCTTTTTCAACACTAATCAAATTAAATATCTAGATACATATCGCATGCTTTCCCTAAATCAATAAAGACCATGTGGACGTCTTTTCCCTTCTCTCTAAATTTCTCAATTTGTTGGTTACATAGGAAAATAGCCTTAATTGTTGACCTCCCCGCAATAAACCAAACTCATTTGCTCATACACTCGATTCATGCCTCAGTCGTTGCTCAATCTCACTCTCCCACAGCTTCATAGTGTGGCTCGTAAGTTTGATCCCGCGGTAGTTCGTACAATTGTGTCTCTTTTGTTCTTGTAAATTGGTACCACAATACCTTTTCTCCATTCGTCTAGCATTTTCTTTGTTCTCAATACCTTGTTGAACAGCTTGGTCAACCAGCATATGCCAATCTCCAAACCTCCATCGGGATACTAGTCCTAAAGTCTTTCTTGCCTTCATCTTTCTTAAAGCTTCTTTCACTTCAAATATTCTTATCCTACAAATTTATCTATGACCCCCAGCCTCATTTATGTCCATAACGCTATGCTCCCATAGTGTTTGTTATTTAACCATTTTTTAAACAAAATTCTCCACCTTTCATTGACCTCATCATCCTCACCAGAACTCTTTGATCCTCATTCTTCATACATTTAATATGATCTAGATCCCTACACTTCCCCTCTCTCCTTTTTGCTAGTTTGAATACATCTTTTTTTCACCTTCTTTTGTCCCCATTTATTGTATAGATTATCATATGCCTTAAGTTTAGCCTTTCTATTTTCTCAGCGTTTTTCTTGAAATTATTATATTCTTTTAACTTTTGGTCATTTTTATTACATTGCCAAGCTTTATAACATGATCGTTTTTCACTAATAGCCTTTTGAACCTCCTCACTCCACCACCAAGTTTCTATATCGAAAATTATTTTCCCTCTAGATTCTCCTAAAACTTCTTTTGCCACTTCCTTAATACAAGCAGCCATCTCATTCCACATAATATTAACTTTGTGCGGAAAATTCTATTTTCCTTCTTTCACCAAATTTTATGCTCTTCGTTTTTTAATTCCAGCACCTAGTTCTTGGACACCTATTAATTTCACTCCTCTTCCATTTTTACGCAGACATCCATAACCAGTAGCTTATGTTGCATGTTTAGACTCTCTCCTAGAATAACTTTACAGTCTTTACATGACGGACGATCTCTGACGCAAACCTAGTAGCTTGAGCTAAGGTTTTTGCAAAGAAGATAGGGAAGATCCAAAATTAGAGAAAGATGCAAAAAACCAAAGCAAAAAAGAGCACTTGTTGCTCTGGGGTTTGAATGAAATTCCATAACATCATCCCCCATTATGCTTTAATAACATCCCTTTTATAAGAAAACCTAAACAAAACTTAATCTTGGACATGCATCTAATCTTATCATAGTCCTTTATTATTAAAGACTTTTAAGTGAATAAAAAGACTTCAAAGACTCTAGAAATTACCACTTATGCCACAAGTAAATAAAAAGACTCAAGAAAAAAATAAAAGGCATACAAGGATAGACTTAATGACTAATTTGCCCTTTTGTAGTTCCTCTTGTAAACTTTAAGCTCCTCTCTCTTGTCTAGATAGTCGATAGTAGTATTCTGGGCTGCATCAGTCCCCCCTTCCTCAAAAGAATTTTCCCTCGAATTTCTACGGCTCATCATCAGAGGTATCACCATGATATGGAATGAGATGCTTGACATTTTATTTTTTTGGAGTAAAGGTGACTATAATTATTGTACGGAGTAATAAAATGTACACAAAAATGGGACCCTCTTAGAGAGTACCCTACACATCCCCGAAGGGTATAAAAAAGTATAAAAGCGAAATTACAACTCCAAGGATTGATGTTGGAGATCTAACAAAAATCTAAGGTCCCCCTGAGAAATGGAGTAGGCTCCCCCTTTAGCAAGATAATCAGCATCGGAGTTTGGCCTCCCGAAAAATATGGCACCACGAGATTGAGATATCTCGTCACAAATGGGATATTTCACTAAAGATGTCTCCTAAACGCCACAAGCTGGGAGAGAGCCTTGATGCCCAAGCTATGACATTCTTAGAGTCCCCTTCTACCATCAAGGTGTGACCCTAGGTAAGGCAAAAACTACGTAGACCTTCTAAAAGGGCCATGGCTTCTGCTAGATTTGAGTCCGCGAGGCCAATGGGGCAGGAAAAGGCATGCAAGGTCTGTCCATCGGATGAACAAAAGAGCCCACCTACTCTGGAGGGGCCGGGGTTCCCAAGGGAGCAGCCATCAAAGTTCAGCTTGATGGAGCCTACTTCGGGTGGTCTCCAAAGAGAAGATCTAGAGATAGTTGGCTTTGCCCCCTGGAGTAAGTTGTGCCAGTTCCTATAAAAATCAAATAAGAGGATGCCTTTAAACAAGCTATGGTTCGTGGCCCAAAAGGCCACTGAGTTCCTGACTTTGTCAGCATAGCCCCAAACGAAGGTCTCTCTACTCTGAAAATCTTGTGGTTCCTTTCAATCCACAGAACCCACAGTGTGGCTGAAACAGAGGCTTTCCAAAGTGCTCTTCCTGCCTTGGGCCAAGGGGCGTAGAGAAAAGCCCAATACAACTGCGGAATGGAGCTAGGAATGACCCAAGTCCACTGGAATAGATCCAACAGATAGGTCCACAGTTCTCAGGCAAAATCAGAGTGAAGGAATAAGTGTGCATTGGTTTCTTCATCCTCCATGCACAAAGTACATCTCTATTTTGGAGAAGATCAATCATCAATACTCTCTCATGGAGTACCATCCAGCAAAAAACCTGGATCCTAGGGGGTAAAAAGGGATTCCAAGCTCTTGGTAGCCAAGGAATATTGGGGCCAGCAGTGGTGGGGATGAGAGAACGAAAGGAGGAGACCGCGAACATCCCCAAGGGTGATGGTTTCCAAATAATCTTATCATCACCAGAGGTTGGAAGGAAGACAGGAGGAAGGATTTCAGCCATACCCCCAAATTCTCAATCTCCAAATCATTGAGGGGTCACATAAAATTTGGAGACCATGATCTGAGATGACCAGAGAGCACAAAATTTTCTGCCACTCTATGCTAAGCATCTCGTGCTAACCAGAAAAGGTTAGGGAAACTGCTCCCTAAGGGATCTACTGTCGACCCATGTATCATTCCAAAACATCATGGAGGCCAAAGAGGGGTCCTGAGGGGGATCCAACTGGGATGAAGGGGAAAGAATGCAAAGAGGGGTCGAGCTAAGGGCCACAAGAGAGAGCAGGAGAGGTTGCTAGAATAGGCCGGGTGGTTTGGTGGGCGCTTTTGATGAGGTGGAAATTAATTGAAAGGCTACATCCAACACCTTCAAGGATGCTGTTGATGAAGGCATAGGGCTAAAAGACCCACAGGCTGGGGTTGATGCCTGATTTAGACTCTATTATGGCGAGAGGTTAGGGAAGAGAGAGGGAGAAGAGATGCCCCGAAGTAGAGAGCTGTGGAGTGAGAATAT